GAAGCTTCTAGGGGCTCCTGGCATCGCTACTAGGAGCAAGAAGCTACTAGGGGCTCCTGGCCTTCCTACTAGGAGCATGGCACCGCTACTAGGAGCAAGAAGCTACCAGGGGCTCCTGGCCTTGCTACTAGGAGCAAGAAGCTTCTAGGGGGAGGGCATCGCTACTAGGAGCAAGAAGCTACTAGGGGCTCCTGGCATCGCTACTAGGAGCAAGAAGCTACTAGGGGCCTGGCCTTGCTACTAGGGGCTTCATTTTCATCCCATGAGACGAAACGCATTTGCACTCACATGTTCATCCCATGGCCATCGGCCTCATTGAAAAACCGCGAGGCCTCCATCGAGGGCCGCCTTGGCTTCCATCCGCCGCCGCGCGCCAACTCGGTCTCCCTGGGACAGGCGAGGGGGGGACTGTTTCGGTGTGGGCACACGTGCCAAAGTGACGTTCAACTGCTGGAAACAATAGCAATGGCCTCCACCCTAGCAGCAAAAGAAACCTAATGGCGATGGCCTCCACCGATGGGGGGTCCGGTTCGTTCGTTCATGGTAGATACATGCCCCTCACACACCTACACATATGAACACTAGGACTAGAGCTTGGTCAGCTCTGCCGCAGGTTTAGAGGTTCAGGATGGTTCAGGTCTATACATCGGACACACCGTTGAGCTTAGACTGCACAACATCGTCATCGTGACGCCCTGCTGGGCTCTTTTCCTCATCTGTGGGCTTGAGTGTAAAGAATGGTGTACCCCATATATTGCCAAATCAGCCCAGTGAATCTGGACATTCACACAGTCCTTGTCAGCTTTGGTCAGGTCTGCACCACGATGTGTATGGCACCAAGTCGTGCCGCATGCCTACCCCAAACTTCTTTTTGTGGACTGAACCAAGGAGGGCACGCCCAAGAAGCGTTGACATGTCTTGGGCGGAAAGATCTGCTCCTCAGTTGCAGGTGGTGCGCTGCCGAGCGGAGGCCCGGCTGCACAGCGTGGAAAGGAAAAATTGATCTCAACAGCCTTAAATGGCCTGACTGCTCATTTGAAGAAACTGTTCAACCACCTTCCGATGTTGAAGCGGAGACTGCACTGTTTCGTTTTGGGCCCATAGACTCTTAAACTGGGAATGAACTTTCGCACATCCACAGTTTGAGAGAGCAGAGAGTGTTTGCGGTGGATGTGGCAGACATAGAAAGCGTAGAACTATACACATCATAGAGGAAGATGACCCTCCCCTCAGGTTCTTGTAGCAAGAATAGTCGGAGGGTCTACATGTCCTCACACCATTGATGTCTACAACGCCGCAACCTTCCTGTGGATCCTCCACACCTTGACCGCGGACAGGAGACAACGCCGGATCCAGCGTCCCATGCGCGCCGTGCCTCTGATGCCCAGACGTGAGGGCCTGTTAAGCCCAGGGGCTGCCTCTTGGGAGGTCAAATCCACCCTGCCACGGGGCACGAGTTTCGGATGTCAGCTTTTCCGGTTTTGTGGTTCGGCCAGAATGTTGCGGGCTTCTCTGCAAGGGGAAGTCGTTCGTTCAGGGTTCTAACCGATGGCTGATTTTCAAGGGCATCTTTGTTGGCCAGCCTCAGACCAGCTGTACAGCCGCGCTAGAAGAGAGGGACGCCCCAGGACCCCTCTCTAGTCTCTTCCATGCCCAGTTGGAGGCTGGGAATTCGTGTCATTGCATTTTTCCTCCATGTGTGAGGGAAAAGGCCATACTAGGGAGTCCATGCACCTCCGAAGTAGGTGGCAGAAGGCAAAAAAACTCGACTTCTTTTGGGACTTGGTTTGGAGTCCTTTCATTTGGTTTTGCAGGACCATGCCATAGGACCTCAGAACAGAGATCTTTGGAGGTGAGAGAGCTCGCCAAGGACAAAGAATACGACGTATGGCACGACGTATGGCAATCCCTCAAAATGTTCCTTGTTTATCCTTGTTTCATGACCCATCCATGGGGGTTTTGGACCTTTTGAGAGCTCAAAGACATATCCACTGCTCCGGTGTTGACAGCATCAAGCAGATCAAGCAGACCCGTGGGCACCGACCAGGGGCATGAATCTTTACAGCATAGCAGATTCCAACGTATCGTCCTTTGGTTCCTTCGGGACAAGATGCCTCCAAGGGGGCTTTCGGTTAGAATTGAGTTAATGCTGACTCAGTTCAATAGACATGGGCACCCCGAGAAGCCACTGTGTACTTGTAGAGGAGCAGCGATCAGAACAAAGATCTCCGGCGAGGCAATTCAGGTGTATAGCATGTTTTGCGTGGTGGAAAAGAGATGAACGGAGCGAGTCCAAACAAACCAAGAAGGGTATCTGTCAGCGAGTTGATGAATTTATCGGCTTCTATCTGCGCTGCGTTGTCAGTGACAGTGAGATCGGCAAAGACTTGGACAATCCACTTTATGTTTCAGTCTGCTTGCGTACACTTCTGCAATCAAAAGTAAAACACGTTCTCAGAAGGCCTTGGTTTCAGAACTGTTCCCCAGCACCCTGTGACCATGCAATCCCAAGGCTCAATGTGTCAAGACGAAGAGCAAGGCGGTGTGTTTACCGGGAGTCCCCGTGGTCAGATCCACTCACAGACTGGATCCCAGTGTTTCCAAAGTCACAAGACCCTGCTTGCATCGACCCTCCAAACCACATAATGCAAGCAGATGGTGTATATACTGTAGTATTATATATATATATGGTCTAATATAGTATCATGGGGGGCGGATGAAATGGTGGACAACCCTAAATAGGTCTTTTGACTGATCAACCATTTAGTCTTTCACACACCGATCAGGTCATGCAAGTGTTTCTAATGCCGTCTGCAAAGGGATCCACTGTTCGCGAGTCACGTACCAGATCATTGCACTCCACTCGCCGTTTCCATTGAGCTGAAGTGGACACTGATGGCCAAAAGCCGCATTACATGGGAATCCCTGGGCCTTGACATGGCATGCCAAGAACCCCCTCGGGAAGTCTGGTCAATTTTTGGTGCGGTTTGTGAAGACTCAAAGTTGTCAACACTCCCAAGTTGCAGTCCTCAGACGACTCAAGGGCAACTGCAAACTTTGGTTGTTGACCGAACTTTGGAGTAGACATCACAACTCAACTAGCTGCCCTCATTGTGTCGGTCAAGAGTTCAGTCCCCAGGCGCATCCCATGCCCCAGGGCTGGGATGGGCCTGTCCTGCATGCCCCGACAGGGCTGGGCCATGCGCCTCAACGTAGCCGACCACATGTCTCGATGTTCGGAGTTCTGACCACATGCTCGGCGGATCTTCGAACATGCTCGGCGGCCGGAGGTTGAGTGGTACACGGTTAGCATGGGAAGGTACTTGGAGGGTTTTCAGGACAGATCACCCCCTTGTGTTTTCATTTTTTCAGTCTGAGATGTCTCAGGACTCTTTGAAGGATGCTGGCTATGACCAAGTGGTCGAAGTCAATGAGGCGATTCTTTCTGCAGTGCCTACGTACTACTTCCCTACTTCGCATGTATGGTGTTTCCTTCCACAGCTGAGTCTTAGCAAGGGGAACGCTGCCATTTGCACTTGGGAGTTATATGATGTCCTCATGTGTTTGACTTCCTGGGGATAAATCAATAGAAACCGGAGGGCAGTCTTTTGGAGGCCATTGCCTTGTTCCCAAGACAGCATGACAGCATGTTCTTCTTTTGTGGACGTTTGTCAAAGTTTGACGCATTGAATCATATTGAATCTATCGTCAGGACCAGGATGCAAAGGTTATGACTGTTATGATTGCTTCTGACTTGAAGTTACCGGAGATGGGTTTTGGGTTCGTTGGACCGTCAACAGCGATTTAATCTTTTTGGTCACTGCATTGCTGGGGGGGCGTTGGACTCGCTGAATCAGCCCCTTTTGGACTCAAAGATCCTGCAGGTGGACTTGCACCTAGGGCCTAGGGACCTATCTCAGTTGCGGAGCAACCCGAGTTGGGCACAGTGCATCAAATCGTTGTCAAGGAACACCCATTGCAAAAAGGAAGCATCAAGAATCAAGTTGAACACATGCTAGGGTCAGCCTCCAATGTAGAGAGGCTTTTCTGGCTGTCAGAGCACCTGGCCTGCTCACGATCCTTTCGTCACAATTCGACAGGTCTTGGCCCGGCGAGGCAACCGGGCGCTCGTCACGGGCCGTTATACCAGCAGCAGGCAAGACGGGGGTGGCCGAGCCATGCGAGTGGCAAAACTCCACAAAGGACAGGTGTTACATCGTTACATGATTTCACACAACCTTTTGCATGACCTCTATATGATTTGCAAACAGAGAAGCCATCGTCCCGCACCTATTGTGGCGATTGGGAGAGCGAACATGACCGAGACAACCTTGGGGATACCTCGTGGCTGTCAGGCACTCAAAGATATGGGGTGCCACCTATGGACCATGGAGGTTCTTGTCTGAACCCCACTTCTACATCTCGAAATCTTATTTCAGCAGATGCTTCGACTGTGTTTGTGCGTCTTAAGACGAGGGAGCTGTCTCAGACATGCTTTAGTCTCACACTGTTGGTCGTATTAGATCCAAGACTCGTTGGTGTCATTGGGTTTTAGTTTTATCGACTTCCATGAATGAAGTCTGAACTTTAGGGTCTCCACCATGTTTTTGACGCCAGAGGCACCTGGAGCACGATTATCATTTCGATGGTCACACGGCAGAACAGAGCGCTGGGGAGGATGGGACACCGTGAGATTTTCATGGAAACAAACAGGCGGGAACTGGCATCACGGATGGTTTGACACTTGTGTTCTGCTTGCTCATCCATAGTTGTAAGTGGTGAGTGGGCTTCCAGATGTTAAAGATCAATGACCAACACCGAGAGAGCTACGGCGACAAAGCCAAGGCTGGATCCGCTAGAGGATCTGCTTCCAAACCTTTCTGCGCATCGGGGTCCGCAGGAGTTCATGGGTTTGTCCGGGAGGGCCCCAAGTTTTCCGGAGGTCTTCGGTCTTCATGGTCTCTTTTCTCTACATCCATCTTCGACCTACATGTTCTTCAGATTTTGATCCCGGAACCCATCCTCAGATTCGTGGGATTTGACCAAGGACCTGAGACAAAACGAAGTTTCAGATTCCATTTTTTACAGAGACACTTACTAGACATCATATCCGACTGCATTGCTGTTGCCTAGCTGCAGCATGTGTGTGGTGCATACCAAAGAAACTGCCGCAGAGCAACTTTCAAAGCACAGCTGCACAGTGGCTGCTTTTGCTCGTCTAAGTCTCAGAGCTGTCTGAGTGATTGTTTTTTTGTTCTTTTTGTTCCCTAAATATATAACTCTTGGGGAAACTACAGAAACATTCCATCCAATCCAGTGTTCTATCACAGCCCTCTCAGGCAAGGTCATCGGAAGTGGCCTTAGTGGCCCCGTGCGGCTGGCCACTGGCAAGGCGCGTTGAAAGTTCTGTGTCGCAGGCGGATCCAGGATTTTGACACCCACCCATGTGGCATAACCTCAAGTTATGTCAGTTTGTAGAGTCATAAATCTTTGGCAACTTTTGCTTCATGAATCTTTCAGTGCGTTTAATTACGGTGGAGAACCGGGAGTTTGCTCCGACTGGGAGTTTGGTTTGCCTTGTTCGGTGTCCCGGCAGGCCGATGGCTGCAAATATGCCATCAAGAGCTTTAAGCAGGGGGGCCTTGTTTGGGACCTGACATGAAGATCGCTGACCTTGGAATCCAGATGTGCTTGCCTAATTGAGGCCAGAGTCCAAACCGCAAATCAATCATGTTTGTACGGAGTCTACTACTTTCCCTGCAGTTCAGAGTCAGAGCATGGGCACAAGTCAGCTTTTGGAGAAGAAATGATAGTGTTTGGAGAAAACCACTGCCCAGGAACTCTGATGTACATCTTTTTGCACATAGCTTCTCAAGTGAGCTTGAGCAGATGGAGTGAGGGGATATTTTTCAGGCTGCTCAATGGAGAACCATATAAACCTTGCACAGACATGCTTAGAATCATTAAGAGTTCTTTTCATCCTCCACAACACTTCAGCGCAGATTTCCGCACTCCGTGTTTGGCACCGCGGAATGTCAGGAAGAAGGGCATGTCCTCTCGGAAGCGGGCTGAGCTCAAGAGCGAGGTGAGGGGCCCGTCCGGGACACGTTCCGGAGGGTTTCGGGGGGCCGAAAGTTCGGCCCAAGCTGCGAAGATTGACTTGGAGCTGGATGGAACTGGAATCAAGCAGAATAAACATGATTAAAACCCTTGAGATCCTAATCTTTTGGAGCCGTATGTACTTCTTACTTGTTTTCTTGTCCACTGCAGGATTGATCATTCTTTTGAATCAACCGTTGGGCCACCGTTTGACCGTTTACGCTTGGGGACTCTTCATCCCCCATGAATACATGGGCCACATATGGTCAAATGACTGATCACGACGAGTCATGATCCTAGCAACTGGTTTAGAGTTCCAACCACCATGGAGCAACAGCCAGAGCAAGAAGTCTCCGACACCGTCGTCTTGAATTCATTTTGCTCGACAGGCGGAGGTCTACCTTACCTTGGATCATCCGCACGTGGCCAAGTGGCGACCCCAGCTCCCGCGGTCCAGAATATTGGTTCGGTGACGGGTACGACAGTAGACGGGAACATCGGTAAGTCAGTAAGTCTTAATCACCTCATACTGGTATTGTGTCAGTGATCTATAAAAGGAGTATTGATGAATAAATTGATGGTAAAATCCAACAATCGGTTTTGGGTGACTTTTTACAGCAATGCATCATTGAATTCAGTATGATTTCAGGATGCTTTTTGTGTGATTTGCATGGTAACTTCTTGCTCACCCACTCAAGGGTAATGCGAGAGGAGTGAAGAGCAGGTTCTTTGTAAGAGAATCCAAGTTTCGACTTCGGTAAGCAGCATAAGCAAGAGCAGAGGTATGGACAACGGAAGAATGCTTAGCTTTTTGTAAATTTTCTGTTTCATCGCAAGGCTAAACTCGCCTGATTCCTGCATGTTATACTAACGCAAGGTTCTGTTTGTTTCTCTTTGTCGTTTGCTGTCCGAGATGTTTAGTTTTGCTGCAATAAGGAAAGAAACCTAACTGCCCATGACAGAAGGCAGTTCTTTGAGCAAGGACAACTTCAAGGTGCTAGTTGGAAGAACAAACTAGTTTGATAATTGAATATAATTGATGTGTTCTTTCTTTTATGTTTTCGTGACCCTTTTCGAACCACAGATCCTCTCGATTGACACCTGTGGGTTCGATGGTTGTGGATCAACCTAGGCTGGAGATGATCTACGAGACGGACGAGGAGACGAGCTGCTGCGCGTCCGACTTCAGGGGACAGGGCTGAAGGGAAACAACATGCAGGATAATTAACAAATTGGCTTCTTATTACTAGTAGCAAGAATGCTCCTAGTAGCGATGCCAGGAGCCCCTAGTAGCGTCCTTGCTCCTAGTAGTAAGGCCAGGAGCCCAGGTAGAAGTTGATTTCAGGATATAGGCTACATGGACAAATTCCGATCGACATCTTCAAAAGAAAAATCATCGGTTTGTTTGACAGTCCCTGATTCAACGGACCGCGGTCCTGATCTTTGTGTCAAGGCCTCCAGGACCGCAGCAGAGTGAACGCCGAGTTTCTCGCGTCCTTTTGGGACTTGAGAAGTGTTCTGGGTAACATTTGTTTTTTTAGCACACCAAACAATTGTAGAACAGCAATAGAAGTGGGACTATTCCCATTACTCCTACTCAATGTTTTTTAGAACTCCCTGAACAACAAGAGCTTTGTTTTTGGGAGTAGTGGACTTCCTTGATCATCATCTTGCAGGAGATGCACTTTGTGATGGAGTACATGTCTGGCGGGGAGCTCTACAAGCGGCTCTCCAACCGCAAGCGCTACTCCGAGGAGCGGGTTTCGCAGGTCGCGGTGGCTGCCAAGGACGTGGTCCATTGGTTTTGGATTCCGAACGTTGAACCCCCCTAGAACAAACGTTTTGGTGGACAGGACATGAATCCCATGGTTTTCTGTTTTGATCCACTATGCTTTGGCACTTGTTGCATGCCAAAGCCGAACATGTACCAGGCCTGTGGGTTCTTTACCCACCTTGAAAATGAATTGGAATGGCGTCTTTGCCCTTGCCAGGAGGCTGCAGCCCTCTGCATTCGCCAGGTGAGGGATCGGCAGTGACGTGACCGCAAGGCTTCAGCCGTTTTTTTGTTAATTGTCAATATAGGTTTCTAAACAGAATATGCAGCTATCGTCAGTAGCTCCTAGGCAGTAGGATCAAAAAAGATGCGAAAAAATAGAAGGTGGATATAGATGGTGGGTGTGGTAAACTGAAGGAAGCTTTGCCAGTAGACCGTAAACATCTTTCCCACCTCACGGAGGTCCATGAGGTCCATGTCCGCTCCACTCCGACCGCTCCATCGCAGGTCCTCCTAGCCGTGGCCTACTTGCATGCGCATGAGGCTGTGTCGACCGGGGAATGGAATCAGGACTCCATCATACTCCATCAATCCTTCGTCCGATGGAGCAATGTTGGTAAAATGCTCACAAGATTGGACAAGGTTAGGAGTGTGCAAACACGCCTTGTCTTTAGGATCATTGAACCTAATTTGTTATTCATTGTTTGTCCGAAGACTCGTGATGACTCATCATTCTCGTTTGGTTGCGTTAGAGGACTGATGTGACCGAGCCTCGGAAAAAGCTGACCTGTTTAGACCTACTTAGACGCAGGGGAATCAACAACGCCTCAAACGCGAAGGCTTTGACATACAGCCAGCTGGCTGTCTAGCTGGCATGCACTTGCCAGAAGGCCGTTCTGATGCGAATGGCAAGGTTGTGCACCGGGATTTGAAACTGGAGAACTTCCTCTATGAGAGCGAGGCCCGGGCCTCAGAACAGATTCTGGTAGCTTCCACTCCAAGAGTTTTGCACATAAATCACAACCTTGGTATTTTTGGACATATATATATATATATATATATCATATATCCAACATTTAAGGTACCTTTTCACTTTTTTCCTTACGGGATGGCTTCAGCCGAAAATCTGACCATGGCCATCATTGGCCATCCAATGCCCATCAAATCACAAGCTAAAGGGAAAGCTTCCCGAGTTTGGATGCCGGTGAGACCATCCTCCGTTTTTTCACAGCTCTTTCTTACTCCACTTCTTGTGATCGATATTTCATGTGTTTCATTATGTTTCGCCCGGTTCACCTGGCGCGAAGGGTCGCTGGGCTCCGTTGGGAGAAGGGTTGACCAAGTGGTCAACCCAAACGACCTGGCTCTCGGTCGTCTCAGTCGAGGACTCGGAGCATCTGAAGATCATCGACTTTGGCTTTGCAAAGCCCGGGGGGGCACAGTTCGCTATTAGGTTGGAGGCCCTCGCTCTTTTGAGACTGCAGTTCGCTATGTTTGCTTCGGCCTGTTCGGCGAAGGAGCTGAACCTTGGAGGGGTGGCGTTTCTGCCTTTTTTTCGACCGGCAAAGACTCAAGTTCGGGTTTCTGACACGACAAGTGGGAGGTGGAAGTGAAAGGGAAAATAGCAGGTTGACTATCTTGTGTACCAGTCGGCCTTTACAACAAGTTTTGCAGTTTAGCATCCACTGTTGCATGAATATGCGTTGCACCACCGGTGGATGTTTTATATTATTGTGCGTTGAGCCCTTTGATCCTGTATTTTTGATCCCTACAGGGGCCTGTGCCTGTGATGAGGGGTGATGGGTCTGAGCACCAAGCGATGCCAAGATCGTTCCTGAAAAAAAAAGGACTGGCATCACCAGTTGCGGATTGTCATGATGCGCGGAGGTTCTGGAATCGGGATACGAAGATGTCCCAGGCGTGCTGAATGCGGTGAAGGGTGTCAAAAAGCTGAAACAATTGGTGAGCTGCTGAAAACTGGGATTCCTCATGTTCTGTCTCCAAACATGATGAACCGTGATTGTGATGGCTCAAGCTGTGAATAGGACTGAGGGACTTGACGATTAACCGTGAACCTAATTGAGGTTCAACCATGACTACTACAATGGATGCACGCAGCACCTTGAAGTTCACCAAGATGTGCAAGTGCCTTGGACAATCGAATCCAGCGCATTTCAGGAAAAGGAGACATGTGGGACTTTCAACATTGAAAGAAATCTTTAAAGCAGAAAAACACTTGGTCCTTCTCTCTATTTAGGATGTGCTTTGGGACTGAACTTCTTGACGGCGACCTGAGGGTTCGAAGAACGTGGATTTTGCACTACGGTGCGGGTAGTTGGAGCTTTAAACTGAACTCAGAGACATTATAATCTGGAATTGTGGTAAGGGTTTTACTCTCAAGAGCTGGGGCTGTCTTTTAACAAAAGCAGTGGATTAGTCAGTACTTGCACTTCATTTGTCTGATGCTTTCTCCATTTGCCGCGACATCCGCAGCCATGGTATACAGCTTCAGGGTTGCCCCGAAATACAGCCATTCCTTGGAGTAGACAGGACAATCCCCCAAAACGAAGCCGCACAAAACAGATCCCGTTTGCCGCAGCCGTTATAAAAACTGGCTACTTGGGATCCAAGTCACGACAAGAAATTGGACATGTAATATTGCTAGTACCAAGCAGCGTTCTTTTCTTTCTCTTGAACCTACTAGATACTAAGGAAGCAGCCTACCGACTGACAGTTGAGATCCTTTTACATTCACTGGTTGAATCCTCGATTGGGTGAACACTGAACATTCCAGTGTGTCATGGGAGTTCCAGGTTCTTGAGCCGTAGAAACCGTAGACCCCAATTCCCCTTGCAGCGTCGCGCTCTGCGTGAGCTCAGCTGGGCGGATCCGGCCACCCAATCGCAGGCATTGGAGATCCAATCGCTGCACCATGGGACAGAGCTGCAACTTTGCTCACTCGGCCGCCGAACTCCGTGCTCAACCGGATTTGGCCCCTTGGACACACGAGCGACAGACATGGCGTGACGGCGCGTCGCCGAGAGAGAGAGGCAGTTTGAGGTCAAAACTTAGCTGGTTGTTTCGGTGTTTGTCCGATGAATGTCGGGGAAGACCAAGGGTACCCTTCGGTTCCTTCTTGCTTTCCAGTGCTTATTGTGTTGGTCATTTCTTGAGCTCGATGGCTTTCTTTCTTAATTGTAGACGTTGAATGAACGGATGAGTTTCCGAGCAATGTGACCGGTGGGGACTCTTTAGCAATCCATAGCAGTACACCCCAACATGACCCAACATGTCTGAACTTGTGCAAGCTGGCAAACAAAAACGAGCGCCAGCCATGTCTACAAGGACCCCGAACTGCTACCCCAGGAAATGTCAACCCTCAGTCAAAGAGGCATCTACTATTTTTCATCCTGTGGACAACATGGCCACTTTGTCAAAGAAACAAAGAAACCACTTTGCAGAGGAAACATATAGTGTGAGTGTATTGCGGATGTTGAGCACAGAGAGTATTATTTACGATACTATTGTTCCTTTCGTCAAATTGTGGCTCTGAGGTTGCTACGAAGCTTTGCTTTCAGTTCATGTCCAAGGGCCGTTGCAAAAAGGGAGATGAATGCACTTTTGCTCATGGAAGGAAGGAGCTACGCCAAGCGCCACCCGAAGAGGTGCCAGTGGTGGAACGGCCAACCCTCAAGCCGATGAAGGTCAATCTTCCGATGCCAGCAGGAACAGGACTCAAAGCGGTGGTGTCACAACTGGAAGAATTGACCTTTGATGCCCTAAACCCTTTCAGCCCAATGCCTGATGCGCTCAGTGCCTTTGATGTCCTCAGTGCCTTCCACCCTCCTCCCGGACTGATGCCCCCTCCAGGTCTGGGTGGCTATGACTCTTATGTGGGTGGTGGAACCGGGTCCATCCCGTCTGAGCACATTTTTGCGGAAAAATTGGTCAGCCCAGCATCAACCTCATTCCCATGCAGTCCTCGCATCGACGACATGTACGGAAGCGAGCCTCTGAGCGACATCTATGGAAGTGAGCCTCTGAGTCCCGCGAGTGAGGTCTTTCGTCTCTGAGAAGCCCTGAGATGCTGATCTTGTGGAGCAAGATCTTTTTAAGGGATAACTCCAGTCGCATTATACAGTTCGCTATTTTCCTGCGCAGTTACCAACGCTAACCGCTACTCCTTGAATGGGGCCCACATAATCTACTGTAAGTCTGATAGATCCTCAGCTGCATTCAGCTCGATCTTTGTGAATCGTGCAGGGCCTTGTTGACCTCATCAAGGATCCGAGTCCTTGTAAAGTACAGGGCAAGGAGTGCACTTGGCCGACCGAAGGTCGGCCATGGGAAGTCAGAAGAAGCTTATTAATCTTAGTTGTAAATTTGGCCATTCCTTCATGAGGCTTTTTCTTTAGAAAGGCAAAAAAACACTCTAAACACTTAAACTACACAGGCCAATTCTGCTTGTGTCACGGTGTTTTGCCTCCATGAAGGTCCTTTAAGGTTCAGATTCTCACCTTTGGAGCGCCGACATGGAGTGTCGTTCGGTCCATTCGGCCATTTGGGTGTTCAAGTTTTCACGTCGTCATTTTTACGGAAAAAGGCGACCTGCCGAAAACAGGTGTTGTTTCACCGTGTGGGTCCTGGTCGTACCTGGTTGATGGTGAAACTTCTGCATGCTGCATGACACCCGGCTCCGAAAAGAGCAGCAAATGGACTCCTCCTAAGCATAGTGTTTTGAGGTCGTAAGATGTCATAAAGCCTGTCTGAACCCAAAAGTGCACTGCATGGCATTGCAGGGCCGATGATGGAACTACGATGACTCGGTGAGAGCTTGAACTCTCACAAACAGAAGGAATGCCTTTCCGGATTCCCCCGACGCAAACTGAGCTTCGCTGTGTTTGACCAGGCTCATTTGATCATCATCTCCGCCAAACTCATTAACTGCTTCACGGGGTTTCTCGGATCAACATCAATGAGAGGCCTGCGGGTCCCTGCACTATGTAGCGCCTGAGGCGCGGAGATGGGAAGCACGGCGATCCCGAAGCCAAGAGTGCATAGTGCCTCTGGATTATGTTTGCCTAGAAAACAACTTCTACCATTTTCATCCATTCTCTACCTGCATTTCTTTTGGATTGTGGTGGCTGATTTGGGATGGATGTGACGTATGCAACCATTGTTTTGGCTGGGGAACAACAAAGTTTGGTGTTCATGTTCACCTTCTTATTGCTGTGGCTGTGCCAACTGAAAGAAGTCATTGATTCATTGGTGCCCCTCATTCGCAGCAAGGCGCGTACAACCGCTCGATTTGAGAGTCTTGAATCCTTGCCACCAGCCATGCACAGGAACAATATAAGACATGTCATTTCTGTTGCGAGAGCTCATTTTGCCCAACAACCCGAGGCAGTTTCCAATTGAAATCAGTTGGTTGAGCGGCTTGAGCCTTGTGGCTGCTTTGTTTTTGTTCTTTTTTTTCGTTTCGGTTTATCTCTATTTTTACCACTCGGTTACTGCATTATTCTTTGCAGGTGCTGGAACATTCCTACACTGACAAGGCAGACCTTTGGTGCGAGCCTTGGGCGAGCCTCGCCACCCGAACTGAGTGATGTTTGAAGATCTCATAGGTTCAGCCGAATGAATTGAGCTACTCGACTACAACTGGAGTTATTGGGTGAATCTATATTTGATATTTGAAGGGTCAGAAGTTCAGAAGCTGCGTCATTCAGATAGCTTGGTCATGTTCTTGTGCAGGTCGTCCAAGGCCAGTGGATGTCTCAACCGCTGTTCATCCCGCACACCTCGCTGAACCATAGATGAACAGAGATGAACCTGCACCCTCAGCAAGCTTCGTTCATTTGTGCTCGTTTCGCCTGTTACAGGGAAGTGGTTCCTTATGGCAGGGTCCTGATTCCCATCGCACAGGTTGCAGTACTGAGGCAGGTTCTGCTTTAGAAGTGGTGGCCGTATCTGCATGCCGAATCTTCAATCCTGACGGTTCCAAACCTGAGATTTTTTGCCTCCTTCGTTGCATTCACGGCTTCCGTTCCACTCGGACGCCGGTTCCAAGGTCTTGTGGTGCCCGGCGACTCAGCGGGCTCAGCGGGCTCCGTATGGCGAACACCACGGTGTTTGGTAGGTCTTTTCGTTCGCCAACAAGAGTGTACCGTGTGTCAGTGAGCAATGAGTGGTGTTGTGTTGAACATCCATTGGTTCGATCTCCAGATATGGTTGGATGGTCAGATCTCTGTGTGGCAAAGGTGTGTATACAATTAGTGCTGTGTATACAATTTACAAGGATGTACTGTACGGTATGTTTTTTTTTTCCCATTTCTCAATGCAGCTTGAGCCCCCATTTCTCATGGGTGGTCTTTGCTCTTTCCTTGCAAAGTCAGACCCCAGTGCCAGGCCAAGCCCTCCAATGACCAAGGAGGTTGATGATCCGAGACGAGAACACCAGGATAATGGGCAGTTCGGGGCCCTTCGCGGCGGATGCCTCTTTCGAAGGAGGTTTCCACTCCGCCGTCCCCGTCAGGTCATCGCCTACATGCTCTTGACGGGCGCCCCGCCCTTCTTTGGCAGCGACGAGGAAGAGCGGAGCCCCGGGCGCAGACAGCAGGAAGCCGTCATGCGGGTGGGGACCAGGACGATGGAGGAAGACGTGTACACGACCTACTGATGTCCAGGTCATGAGTGGCACATTTCAATATATACTGTATATATATAATGAAAAGGGTGTGGAATGCGGGTGGTTTTATCAAGTCCTTGATGAGTGAAGTGGTGTTGTTTGACTGAGTTTGTGGGGTGGTTCTTTAAGAGGTGAGGAAAACTTGCGAGGTAGCGGCAGGAACATCCGCAGGAAGATTTGAGACACCTAACTGCAAGGGAGGTTGGAGTGGCTCTCCATTGCAGGAGGTGCATTCTTGCATATGTTTGCTCTTAATGTTTGTTTCTAGCGGTCTTTCTTGCAGTCAACCTTGACAGTAACTTGCACTTGCAGTGGTATAAATGATTTCAGTTTTTGTGCCCAACTTCATTTCGGGGAAGGTATACTGCATCGAGGAAGCATCCATTTTATCCCGCCATGGAGGAGCCATCAAATTGCAGCGTCACTTCCTTTACTGCTTCCAATATCTTCCAACTGCACGTCTGGCTTGGAGACACGAAACACCCTCATCCAAAAGAGAAACATTGAATTTGATGATGCCATTTCTTTTTCACCTAGCCAGTAGCAAGAAAATATCAGGGTGGAGGCCATGGCTCTTAGGTTGGAGGCCATCGCTACTAGTAGCAAGGACACTACTAATTCAACCGCCGTCTTTCCCTTGAGCCTTTGCCCAAGCGAGTTCTTCCGTAGCGCGTGCTCGCGGAGAAGCGTCAAGACGATGGAGCAACTGGCCTGCTTTCATTGCCGGAAGTTTGAGTATGGCTTTGCCCTGACTCAGGTAGCCCTGCAATGATGTAAACCAATTTCACAGGGCCACCCTGGATAGAATGTCTAGGTACTCGTAGTATACTCAGCCTTGACATGCCTTGACCAGAAACTTCAATATTGAACAATCCAATCAAAAGGAGGACCATTCCCCAGCATGGCTCTTGAATTGTACTATGCTGTATTCTTTCTAATTGAGGATTCTTAACCAAACATCCTTAGAGGTGGTCTTCCATTGCCCTTCCATATTTATCCATTTCCACTAATTTCATGAATTGGGTTCTCCAACACATGGAACGAGCAACAAGGACCCTTGTTGGCATACTTTCCACTGACTTGCAACATATTTAGAATTTGGAAGAGTGGGACACATTTAAAGCGAGCCTGGATTATTGAAGCCACTTTTGCACTAGGATGCCAAGGTAGGACAAAGACATCAAGACAACATGCAGGATATGCAAGTGTAGTATTTGAACAGTGATGCAAGTGATGCAGTCGTAGTGTTGCTGCATCATGAAGAAGAAAGAGAAAGGATAGTACTGTAAAAGTGCTAGATAAATAGGAGGAGACCATGTGAGTGGCATCATGGTGGGGATGGGGTCACTTGCAAAACGTTTGTATCACGAAAGGTTGCGAGGCAACCCGAGTTCAATTAGCTCTAGCTTGTGGGGCGAAATCTATCCAAACCAACATCGCACAGATACATATTTTTATACCTCCATATTAAGCAGTCTTGAGCGGGTTTGTGTGTCTTTTTTAAAGAAAAAAATTGTGCAGGAGTTCCTGAGTTCCTTTCCGCCCTTGCATCCACTCAAAAAAAAAGTCACCCAAGCCCTTATTGAGTATTCGTTTGATACACATCACAATGCGCCATACCACAAGTTCCCAATGCAATGTGATATGACTCTGACCAATGCATCCATAACAATACCGGAGTATACAGAGGTTGATTTTACAGCAGGATGTGATCTATATAAAAGGACAGGTGATTAGTCTCCTTTGAAGGAAGAATCACGCGTTGCTTTAGCGGATTCGCTTCCGGATTAGTTGATTTATGTGAGGCCATTGTCACAATTTGCTAACCTGGTTTACACCGATTGCAATTTTCAATGGTCTCGTCTTGACGTGGCCAATTCCATGCCGGGTCTCTCTCTCTCTCTCTCTGTCTGTCTGTCTCTCTCTCTCTCTCTCTCTGTGTAAGACTGTGTCACAAGGGGATTTGGCAATTCAGTAGTGATCCTGAAACTATCATGCTACATCCATGTCTTTTGTTCACCCCCTTCACACCCCATACCAGAGTGTATCAAGGGGGTGCATGGGGAGCGCTTGGATCTGTTGCGCGAGTCCGGCTGCTCTCCTCACTTTACGCCACCCCCGGGACGAGCCGTGCACCTTTTCTAGATCATAAAGTAAGGTCTAGCCTGCAATAGAGGATACATCTTTAAGTTCATCCAACTGTAAATTAGTTTGAGCTTGTGATTATGGTACCTGTTTTTTGTGTTTCCTGAGATCTGAGAGCACTGAATCTGACATTGGATTATTTTACCTCCTTTAAGGTTTTTCTTGAGCAGTGAACATTCTATACCCGCAGACTGAAAGATAGAATGCTGGCCGGGGGCGTCTGGTGGAAGATTTTCGGCCCTG